TCATCCAGCATCTGTGTCGTCAATGTCGTCTGTGTCGATGTGGTGGGCGCTCATGGTTTGGGGCTGTGGTGGTGGGGAAGGAAGAAACGACGTGGCGACGTTTCTTCCACAGCTGTGACATGTATGACGCCACATGCCTTAGGACGGTATATACTGACCTTTAGCCTAATGTATAGTAAAGCCTGTATGGCTCAGTTGACTTTAGTGCTGCTACTATTGATGATGTCAAGGGTTCAATTCTCTTCAGTGCAATTTTTTTTTCTACTTAAATATAGTAAGAACACTATAAATACTATGTTTATATGTATTCTAATGGTATACTGGTCTTCCATGGAATCCATATGGACTGTTCCATGGAATCCCTATGGAATAGTACATGGATTTGCAATTGAAATTCATTGGAAATTCGATATGGATTCCATAGTGGGTCTGGAATGAAAAAATGGCTGGGTTGCCTGCCAAAAAATTGTCCATATGGAACATACCGGGGAGTGTAAAGACCTCATTCAAATCCCAACCAAGTTAGTGCGAAGCTTACAGGCCCAAATTCAAATAGCAAGGTTGTACGCCCCAGGTTCAAATCCTGAACATGTCACCGGAGAATTTCTTAGTAACTGGTTACGTTTAAATGACAGGGGCACCGAAACAACTTTGGGGCATCCATGACATGGCAATGTGAAAGACAAAAAGGGCACCAATGACATTCCAAATGCACACAGTAGAATGAAGGATAGTTGAAATGACAGGGGCGCCGAAACAACTTATGCACACCCATGACATGGCAAAGTGAAAGATCTCAAGTAGAAACAACTGTTTAAGACTTCGATTCAATGTTCAGTATAAAAACAAATGATTTAGTTGTCATCTTGACCCTCTCCCTTGGGCACTGCAGCACAAATACTCTTCCAAGCTTCCTGAAGCTCCAACTCCGCAAGTTCCAGGCCCCTGATGTGCATTTCAAGTTGGTACAACTCCTCATGTTTTTGACGGCACAGCAGCTCCAATACTTGTTGGGGGTCCCTACACCAGGAAAGTAGGTTGAGAGCAGATTTGAGCCACTCTTGGCGGTGCTTCACCCCATGACCATCCTAATAAAGTGAGGTCAGTAAGAAAATTGTAGTCAGAATGACTGACCTTGTTTCTGGGAAACTCTTCACATTGTTGCCTTACCGAATCAGGATCAGCCCAGATGTATTCAAAGTTGTCTAACTGAGGGATGAGTGAAGGCGCACCACTGTGACTGGAGGATGCCTCAGGCACAGGGAGTGTTGATCAGGTCATGTTTCTTGAGGTGGGATCAGGGCCTGGAAGGGGTGGTCAGGTCATATTCCATTGCTTGTTGGGCATTGCATCTGTTGCTCCCTGCGCTGCAGGGTGAGGTGGCCGGCTCATGTTTCGCTGCACAGTGGGCAGATCAATTGGCACACCAGTTTGCTGGTTCATAGTTGGTGCCGGTGCATCTGGTCGAGTCAAGTTGCGCTGTTTCAGAGGGACAGAAGTTTGCGTCTTGCCTGGTGCAGGCATAAGAACTGCAGCTGTCTCCCCAGCTGGACAAGTCAAGTTTCGTCATTTGGGAACAGCAGGGGTTTCTCATGCCCCCGCAGCCGCCGTTGCCTCAATTGGCACGCCACCTTGCTTGTTCGTAGTTGGTGCCAGTGCAGGTGGAGGAAGTGGTCAAGCCAAGTTGTGCTGTTTGAGAGGCGCAAACGTTGGCGCCTCCCCTGGTGCGGGGATAAGAACTGCAGCCATCTTTGCAGCAACTAGTGTTTACAGGTCCGGTCCATAGGACTGAAAAAAACCGGTGGACTGGACTGAACCAGACCATGGTCTGGTCTTTTTTTCGGTTGCAGTTGCCCCAATTTGGGGTTGGTCTGGTTGCTGGTTGCCTCATTTCAAAAATCTTTTAAAACTGTTCAAAGACTGGTTTAAATTGATTGCAACCAGTTAAACGGTCACGTGCATTACATACCCTTGTAACCACATTTATTACCTTTAATTGGGATTCTGTTTCATCAAAAACGGTTAAGAACTGAGAAAGATATAACCAAATTCATTTTGGCACAAATACTTGTTTGTGCAACTTGTACCAGAATGACTTTAATTCTAACTCACTCAAACTTTCATCATTTTGCTTGATTCAATTTTTGGATATTGACATTTTAAGTATGAAAATATACTCACCATCTATCAATATATGGTATGCATCAAATAATTTACAGTTGCCACATTACATTTTGCCCAAGTCTTTATGAGATGTAATTCGGTTTCAGTCATAACTATGTCAAGTGTTCATTAAATTTCTTAAAGATTGGTAGAATAATGGGTATTTATATGTTTTACTATGATATATAACCAGTTTATTTTTTAGAGTAATAATAATTGAGATACAAATGGTTTATATTGGTATGATAAATTTTACGCAAAAAGACCAGTCTGAATCAGTTTGAACACGGTCCATGGACCACAAAAGACCGGTCCTAGGTGGTTCGGTTCGGTTCCCTCAATATCTGGGTTGGTCCTAGACCGGTTGCGGTCCATGGTTGCCTGTTTTCGGGGCAAAAAACTGGACTGAACTGGACCTGCGAACACTAGCAGCAACCCCAGCTGGCTGTTCAGATGGACGAATCATGTTCCAAACTATGGGCATTGCTTGCGCCTCGGGGGGCATGGCTTCCTGGCCAGTTGCCGATGTCCCAGTCAGGGCCTGCGCTTGCATGGGAACAGGTGGTCAGGACATGTTGCATTGTTTGGAAAGGATAGGAATGGTTTTCGCCTCAGGTGTCGTACCTGCTTGAAGACCTGTTGGACCAGAAGCAGCTGTATGGATGTTGGGTGCAGCTGATGGCACAGCAGGTGGCGGAGGTTGACTCATGTTGCGCGGCCTGGACTGCTGCAATGCCTGGTCTTCTTTTTGTGGGGGTCATGGTGGATCATCAAAGATGACTGGATATTTAGACCCTACTATGCCAGCGGAACAATGTTATGAGTGAAAACTTGAAATAAGGAATAACTTTGCCTTTGAATGTGCCATTGTTGTTCACCATGCATGCAAATTAGACTACGAGGGTGTGGGCAAGTTGTGAACAAGATTGAATATTGATAAAAGACGAGATCGATTGATGAACATGGTCACATGATGTGACATTTGTTGTACCTTTCCAAACATGTCACGACTTCAACTTCCAACTTCAACAGCCTCCTCCGCCGTCATCAACCACAGCAATATTGATTCCATTCAAATCTGCCGACCTCCTGGATGCCATTGCACGCTTTGAGGACAAGCTCTGCTCTATGGTCTGGGAACACGCAGGACAGATCATTCCAACTAGAGATGTGGATGAGTGGTTGAACATTGTTGTGAGTAAAGTTTGCTTTTACCTTACAGTCAAGGCTGATATGTTGAAGGATGAGATCAATACTCTCCTTGCAGCTGAAGCTGCCATTACACCCATGTTCGACCCCTTCCTTCCACTCGCCGGAGGTCTTTATTGTCCTCCACTGATTCCTGCCGGAATCCGGCGGAATCCGGGCAATCC